CCCAGATATAGTTGAAAATCATCAAGGCAGTACTTCTAAGAGTCTGCAAGAATCAGTGTTACTGGCCTTGGAGTCCCCCCTAAAGTCGTTACAGCTTATATCGCAACACGTAAATTCTTCCAAATATTGAAGGACCTTCCCCAAAAGGAGGGCTACGATTATATACAGACAGTGAAGACTACAATAAACACCTAAATCTTCAATGCCCAGACACTGAAGAATATCTACTAGCATCAACACCATCCAGGAAAACATGACCTCTACAAATGAACTAAATAACACACCCAGGGACCAATCCCAGAGAAACAGAGATATGCCAACTTTCAGAGAGAGAATTCAAAGTAGCTATGTTGAGGAAACACGAACAAATTCAAAATAACACAATAAAGAAATTCAGATATATTTAACAAAGATATTGAAAAATAATTACTTTAATAATTAAATAGATTGAAATAAATATCAAGAAGAAATTCTGGAGATGACAAATGGAATGGGCATACAAATGAATACATCAGTGTCCTTAAATAGAATTAATCAAACAGAAAAATTAGTGAGCTTAAAGATTACTATTTGGAAATACACAGAGGAAACAAAAATTAAAAACAAAAACAATGAAATATGCCTATAGGATTTAGAAAATATCCTCAAAAGGGAAAATCTAAGAATTATTGGCCTTAAAGAGGAGGTAGAAAAAGAGATAGGGATAGATGGTTTATTTCAAGCGATAATAACAGAGAACTTCCCACACCCAGAAAAACATATAAGTATCCCAGTACAAGAATGTTATAGATCACCAAGCAGATTTAACTCAAAGACTACCTCAAAGTATTTAATGATTAAACTCCCAAAGGTCAAGGATAAGGAAAGAATTCTAAAAGCAGCAAGAGAAAAGAAACAAATAACATACAATGGAGTTCCAATATGTCTGGCAGAAGATTTTTCAGTGGAAGATTTACAGACCAAGATAAATTGGTATGACATTTTAAAGTGATGAAAAAAATAGTATATTTAGTAAAAATATCATTCAAACATGAAGGAGAAATAAAGACTTTACCAGTAAAACAGAAGCTGATAGATTTCATTAATACCAGACCTATCCTGTAATAAAGGCTAAAGAGAGTAGTTCAATCAGAAAGAAAAAATAATAATAATAAATAATCAGTTGAACATATAAAACTTACTGGCAGTAGTAAGTATCCAAAAATAAAAACCACAAAATATTATAACACAGTAGCTGAGGTATATAAAATACCTTTATCCTAAGTTGAAAGTGTAAACAATAAAGGAATAAAAATAATAAGTAGAACAACTTTTCAAGACATATTAGTTACCATAAGATATGATTGGAAACAATAACAGTTAGAATACATGGGGTTAAAGTTAAGGCTTAGATTATTAGCTTTATTTCTTAATATGTTTATTTATCCCAATAGTGTTCAGTTGTTAAACTGAAATTATAAATTATAAGATGGTATTTGCCAGACTCACTGTAATCTCAAACCAAAAGCACACAAAAGATGAACAAAAGTAAAAAGCAAGGCATTAAATCATATCACCAGAAAGAATTATCTTCACAAGATAGAGACAAGAAAAGAAAGAAGATCACAAAGAAAAAAACAAACAACAAAATGACAGTAGTAAGTCTTTACATATAAAGCATAACATTAAATATAAATGGACTAAACTGTCCATTCAAAAGACAGAATGAATGAATGAAAAGCAAGACCCATTGATCTGTTGCCTACAATAAACACATTTCATCTATAAAGACACACATAGGACTGAAAAAAAGGAATAAAAAATGATATCTCATGCCAATGAAAATCAAAAAAGAGGAGTCATTACACTTATACTATAACAAAATAGATTTCAAAACAAAAACTATAATACACAAAGAAGGTCAATGTATAATGATAAAGGGGTAAATTCAGCAAGAGGATTTTTTAATAAAATTTTTTAATATTATATTTAAATTGGTGGACCAAACACTGGAGCACCCAGGTATATAAAGAAAATATTGTCATAGCTAAAGAGACAGATAGGCCTCAATACAATAATAACTGAGGACTTCAACAACTCATTTTCTGGATTATATATTATAGACAGAAAATAACTAAAGAAACATCAGACTTAATTTTCACTATATATCATATGGATCTAGTAGACACTTACAGAACATTTTATTGAAAAGCTGCAGAATATACATTCTTTTCCTCAGCACATGGATCCTTCTCAAGTATAGACCTTATGTTAGGTCACAAAACAAGTCTTAAAACATTGAAAAAAAAATGAAATAATATCAAGCTTCTTTTCTGACAATAGAAGCAAACAAGAAATTAATAACAAGAGGAATTTTGGAAACTTATACTAAAATACATCAAAATAAGCAATATGTTCCTATATGATCATTGGGTCAATAACAAAATTAACAATAAAATTGGAAAATTTCTTGAAATGAATGATAATGGAAACAATATATACCACAGCCTATGGGATGCAGCCAAAGCTGAACTCAGTTGGAAGTTTATAGGTTAAGTGTCTACATAAAATAAGAGTAAAATCTTTAAATAAACAATATAATAACACATGCTAAATAAAAGGTAGAAAAGAAAGAGCAAATGAAACCTGATATTAGAAAAAGAAAATAAATATCACATGAGAAGTAAATAAAATTGAAATAAAATAATACAAAAATCAATGAGACAAGAAGATGATGTTTTAAAAGTTAAACAAAAATGGAAAAAACTTTAGACAGAAAAATGATTAAAAACTAGATCCAAATAAATAAAATCAGAAATGCAAAAGGAGACATTAAAATGAATACTGCAGTGCTCAAAAGATCATTAGTGGTTACTAGGAGTAACTATATGTCAATAAATTGAAAAATCCAGAAGAAACAAATTCCTGCATACATATAACCTACCAAGATTAAATTCAAAACCTAAACAGAACAACAATAAGACTGAAGCCATAATAAAAATCTCCCAGTAAAGAAAAGCCAAGAATCCTATGGCTTCACTGCCAAATTTTACCAAAAATTTAGAGGGTAATACCAATCCTACTCAAACTACTTAAAAAAATGGAGGGGAAGGGAATATTTTGAACTTCATTCCATGATCCCAGTATTACTCTAATACTAAAACCAGGCAAGGACACATCAGAAAATGAAAACTGTAGGCCAATATCTCTGATGAATATTGATGCAAAAATTCTCCAACAACATACTAGCAAATTGAATTCACCAATACATTAGAAAGATCATTCATCATGACCAAGAGTGATTTATCTCTGGAATGCAAGGACAGTTCAACATAAGCAAGTCAGTCAACATGATACATTATATCAACAGAATGAAGGATAAAAGCAATATAATCATTTCAATTGATGCTGACAAAGCATTTGATATAATTTAACATCCCTTCATGAGAAAAACATTCAAAAATCTGTGTATATAATGAATATACCTTAATATAATAAAAGCCATACATGACAGGGCAATAGCTAGTATAATACTGAATGGGGAAAAACTGAAAATCTTTTCTCTAAGGTTTGTAACATGACAAGAATGCACACAGTTACCACTGTTATTCAACAAAGTATTGCAAATCCTAGCTAGAGCAATCAGGCAAGAGAGATAAAGAATATACATATTGGAAGATAAAACATCAAATTATCCTTGTGAATATTATCTTATATTTGAGAAAACCTAACAACTCTTGTCCATTAGTCCATTTTCACACTGCTGATAGACATACCTGAGACTGGGTAATTTGTAATGAAAAAGAGGTTTAATGGACTCACAGTTCCACATGGCTTGGGAGGCCTCACAATCATGGTGGAAGGTGAAAGGCATATCTTACATGGAAGCAGACAAAAGACAATGAGAGCCAAGAAAGAAGAAACCCCTTATAAAACCAGACCTCATGAGATTTATTCACTACCATGAGAATAGTATGGGGGTAACTGCCCCCATTATTCAATTACCTCTCATTGGGTCCCTCCTACAACATGTGAAAATTATAGGAACTACAATTCAAGATGAGATTGGGGTGGAGACACAAACTAAACCATATCAACTCCACACACACACACAAATATTAGAACTAATAAATTCAGTAAAGTTGCAGGATACAAAACCAACATGCAAAAATCAGTAGCATTTCTATACACCAAAAGTAAACTATCTGAAGAAATAAAATGTAATCTCATTTACAATAGCCACACATGAAATTAAATACCTAGAAATTAACCAAAGAAATTAAAGATCTGTACAATAAAAACTAAAAACTTATGTAGGAAATTGAAGACAACACCCAACAATTGAAAAATATTTCATGTTCATGGATTGAAGCAATCAATATTGTTAAAATGTCCATAGTACTCGAGGCAATCTACATATTCAAAGCAGTTCCCATAAAAATACCAATGACATTCTTCAGAAAAAGAGAAAAAAAATCCTACAATTTATATGAAACCACAAAAGACCCATAATAGCCAAAGCTACCCTAAGCAAAAGAACAAAAATGGAAGAACCACATTCATTTACTTCAAATTATGTTGTAGAGCTATAGTAACAATAGCAGGGTACTGGCATAGAAACAGACACACAGACCAATGGAAAAGAACAGGGAACCAAGAAACAAACACAGACACCTACAGTGAACTCATTTTTGAAAATGACTTCAAGAACACAGACTGGGGAAAGAACAGAGTCTTCAATAAATGGTGCTGAAAATGCAAACAATAAATGGTTATTCATGTGCAAACAATGGAATCTAGACTCTTAACTCTCAGCAAATACAAAAATCAAATCAAAATGGATTAAAGACTTATATCTAATACCTGAAACTATGAAATAACTGCAAAAAAACTTTGGGGGAAACCTTCAGGACATTGGTCTGGGCAAAGAATTCTTGAGCAATACCTTACAAGCACAGACAACCAAAGCAAACACAAACAAATGAAAACACATCAAGTTAAAGAGCTTTTACATGGCAAAGAATACAATCAACAAAGTGAAGAGTCAACCAGCAGAATGGGAGAAAATATTTGCAAATGACCCATCTGAAAAGGGTTTAATAACCAGAACATGAAAAGGGCTCAAACAACTCTGTAAAAATGCATCCAATAATCCAAACCAAAAATTGACAAAATATTTTAATAGACACTTCTCAAAAGAAGATATGGTAAACAGGCATAGGAAAAGGTGCTCAACATCACTGATCATTAGGTAAATGAAAATCAAAACTACAATGAGATATCATCTCACCCTAGTTTAAATGGCTTACATCCAAGTAACAGGCAAAAACAAATGCTGGAGTGGATGTAAAAAATGGAAACCCTTGTAGACTCTTAGTGGGAATGTATATTTATACAACCACTGTGGAGAACTGTTTGGAGGCTCTTTAAAAAAAAAAAAAAGAGGAATAAGAAGAAGACATGAGCTACCATGTAATCCAGAAATCCCACTGCTGGGTGTATACCTGAAAGAAAAAAAAAATCAGTATATCAAAGATGTATCTGCACTCCCATGTTTGTTGTAGCACTGAATACAATAGCTAAGATTGAAAGCAATCTAACTTTCCATCAATGGGTGTGTGGGTCAAGAAAATGTGGTACATACACAATGGCAAACTATTCAGGTATAAAAAATGAGATATAGTCATTTGCATCAATATTAATGGAATTTTAGATCATTATCTTAAGTAAGCCAGGCAGAGAAACAGAAACATAAGGTCATATAAAAATACTGCTTCACATTTGTAAATATCATGCATCTCATGAAAAACAGTTTGAGATATTGGGAAACTATGAAACTCATCGTGGTAGATACAAAATTTGCAAAAGTTTTAATTTTCCTTGAATTGTCAAGTATTATAATTGGCAGTAGCTACCGTCCCTTGCTTTACTGAAGTGGCATACTCATTTATTTTTGAGGAAATGTCTGCAAATAACCAAATCTGAAGAAGCATCTTTTCGCTTTTTTTTTTTTTTTTTTTAGGGAAAATATTATGTTCCATGAAATATAGTAGCCAATGCAGTTCATAACTCAAATAATTATACAAATGCTTTTTCTGAAGATAACTATCTCAAATCAGTATGTGATTTAGAAGTGCTTTATGTATACTTCTCATTTTGTCATATGGCTAATTAAAAAGACATGTTCAAGAGTGGAACAGTAATTAAAATTAATCATACTTTCTGCTTCAACAAGTACATTCTTAAGTGAAACTGGAATTTTTTAAAAACTGAGAGCACATGACAGTGAAGAAAACAAAGGCTACTTGTACAGTTTAATGCCAGTTTCTTAATTTATGCTAAGGTACAAGCTCTAATACTTATCATTGGTTTTATATCATCAGTATAAATGTTTAAACAGTGAAAAAAATGTTTTGACCTTGCAGACACCCTCAAAGCTTTGTGGAGAACCCTTGATGTGTATATGGAGTACCAATGCCATATATCTATAACTCATCACTCAAAAATATGGAAAGATAAAGCCTTTGTTCTTTTATTTCTACCCACATTGTTTGAAAGCTGACTCTGAAGCTGTTTATATTTCTATACTTCCAATCTTCCCTTCTATCTTAGCTCGGGTCTGCTGGGAGGCAAACTCCAAGACAATATGAGGTATGCAAAAGATTTATTTATAGAAGGAGCAGGAGGTGAGGAGAGCTTTCATACTGTAATTCAGTTCTGACACCTCTGAAAGGGGAGAAAAAAGAAAAGAGAATGAGGTAGACAGAGGTTAGCATTATCAGGGCAGGTTCAAGGGTCATTTAGCCAGAACCATATTCAGACATCAAACCAAAGCCTGCCATTATAGGGGTTCTAGTCCCTCCACAATAGATCTTAGTATCTTCATTATACTTAGTCATTGGCTAGGTGAAGCCCATGGGCAGTGAGACTTTGGTAGGCATGTAGTGGTAGATTTATAAGTACAGTGGCAAAGACCATCAATCTATCATGCTCCCTGCAGCATGACGTCTGAGTGGCACATATTCATGACCCTGTAATTTACCCCTTGCACCAAACAAATCCACTTGTCCAAGCAAGTTTTTAGACATCATCTATGGTTACCAGGGTTCTATCTTCCTGAGAGAAATCTTCAAAATAAGAGTTTTTTGAATAAGCTACAATCTCTGGCATTGTAATTGATCTTAGGAACATAACTGCTACTTATCTTTATTCTCTCTTCTCCACTACATATTATTGATTTCCTTTACCCTCGACTATCGCTGCGGCAGAAAAGTAGAGTGAGCCAGAGGCTGCAAAAGTATGTCTAGGTTCTAGGGAAAAATGAGGGGATATGCATCAGGACATTCACTTGCTCAACGTTTCACTCTGCAAGGTCTCTCCATGGAGGTAATGCAGAAGGCACAGGCACACAACAGTTTAAACTTTTGGAGGTGAATTTTACTCCTGGTATCATAATATTATGAGGCATTTTTACATACTTAGATAATATCAGTGCTGATATCTTCCACCTGGTAATTCCAAATGCATAGTATCTTATTAAGCCTTAACATTTACTTTACAAGGAAATCCAAAAATTCACAGCTAAATCCTCCTTAATAACAGTTATTAGCTGGCATTTGGTACAGTATATGCTTAATGGTTCCTGCTGTTTCTGAGAGGTAAATAGAGTCCTACAGCATCTAATTTGCATTTGAGCCTATCATCAGGACTCACCTACAGATACCAAAGGATATTCACCTCTTAAACACTTCCTTGAATTTTATTTTATGTGCCTTTATTTTATATTGAAAATAATCATTGGTTTCTTCAAAAATGTGCTTCTCAAAAGTAACACCATACTTCTATCTTTTGGGAAATAAATTGAATTCGATTTCTAAAAAAAAGTTGAGAATATCATTTCATTTCCCCTCACTTTTTTTTTTTTTACATTTAAGGAAATCAAGACCCAGCATTTAAAAAATGTGACATTTTCAAACAAATAAGGCAGGTTAATGGCAAAGTTGGTACTAGAAGGAAGTACCATCAAAATGCTTCCAGGTAAACAACAGAAATGTACAACCTGGGACAATTGCTACGTGGCAAAGGGAGAGCTAAATGAAACACTTGGACAATAACAGATGAAGACGAGATTTGTTAGAATTAGTGTAAATTTCCATCTTCTTTGATTTGACTTTAACAAATGCATTAAATTTTAGTAATCCTACCTTTGTTTTAGTATGTTCAGTGGCTTTGTCATTCTCATTTTCCCTTAGGGCAGTTATAAATATAAAAGAAATTATATTTATAATCAAATATAGAGATAAAATAAACATTGTCTCATGTGTTATGAAAATGATAATTACCATGATAACAAGCGTATATTGAATGTAATTTAATTGCCTGTATTCATCATCATTCTTTGCTTACAGGCCAAATCGTACAAAAACGTCATGCACATAGCATCACAATTGTCCAAATACTCCTCTCCAAACAGATGTGCTAGAATTTTCATAAAACTTCCCTTTGGTTGGTTTCACTTCTCTTCACAAAATTTTCCATCTAGCTTGCTTCAGTCGTTTCACAGTATGGTAGTTTTTAGATCTCTAACAGCCCACAATTGTCTCTTGTTTTTCTCTCAGTTATTCTCCACTTTTTTGTTCAAGTGAAGGAAATTATATGCTATGATATACTGGCTACCCTTTGACCTCTCACAAAGAGTTACATGTCATCTCCCACACGAGGAAGCTTTACAGAGCAATTCAACCTTCCTTGCAATTCCGTCTTTTATCTGGAACTGGAGCTAGGGGTAGCAGAATGTGGAGAAGTACAAAATTAAAAAAAATAAATAAAGTAAAAAATGTTATTTGTATTGAATATATCAAAATGTTTATTTCAATTTCTTTTAGAGTATGCTAATATTTTCTAGGTGTTAAACTTGCACAAGTCACTAAAAGTATTTAGAATTCAATATGGTTATATTGATCAAGGTAGGCTAGATTTTGCTATAGTAACAAATAAACCTCAGATCTCTGTGACTTAAAATGAGAAGTTTATTTTGTATTCAGATGACATATCCATCCTTGTTCCACAAGGAAGCTCATCTGTTGTAGGTACTCATACCCCCTAGGTTGTCAGAAACAGCTATCATCTTGTACCATTGCTTGCCACTATACCAGAGGGAAAAGAAGACCCTGTCATGTATTACACGATTAATTAAATGATGCAGTGAGGAAGTGACACAGTCATCTCTGTTCACACACACCAGACAGAACTAATTCAGTGTAAGTTTCCAGAAAAGGAAACAATGTATGTGGCAAACACACCTAATGGCTATTACAAAGGAAAATATGTTTCTTTTGTTTTCCTGTCTTATGACTCTTAAGAAAATCTAGGCAAAACCATTCAGGACATAGTCATAGGCAAGGACTTCATGACCAAAACACCAAAAGCATTGGCAACAAAAGCCAAAATAGACAAATGGGACCTAATCAAACTCCACAGCTTCTACACAGCAAAACAAACAGTCATTAGAGTGAATCGGCAACCAACATAATGGGAGAAAATTTTTGCAGTTTACCCTTCTGACGAAGGGCTGATATCTAGAATCTACAAAGAACTGAAACAGATTTACAAGAAAAAAACAAACAAGCCCATTCAAAAGTGGGCAAAGGATATGAATAGACACTTTACAAAAGAAGACATACATGAGGCCAACAAACATATGAAAAAATGCTCATCATCACTGGTCATTAGAGAAATGCAAATCAAAACTACATTGAGATACCATCTCACGCCAGTTAGAATGGCGATCATTAAAAAATCTGGAGACAACAGATGCTGGAGAGGATGTGCAGAAATAGGAACACTTTTACACTGTTGGTGGGAGTGTAAATTAGTTCAACCATTGTGGAAGACAGTGTGGCGATTCCTCAAGGACCTAGAAATAGAAATTCCATTTGACCTAGCAATCCCATTACTGGGTATATATCCAAAGGATTATAAATCGTTCTACTATAAGGACACATGCACACGAATGTTCATTGCAACACAGTCTACAACAGCAAAGACCTGGAACCAACCCAACTGCCCATCGATGATAGACTGGACAGGGAAAATGTGGCACACATACACCATGGACTATTACGCAGCCATCAAAAACAATGAGTTTGTGTCCTTTGTAGGGACATGGATGAACCTGGAATCCATAATTCTCAGCAAACTGACACAGGGGCAGAAAATCAAACACCACATGTTCTCACTCATAGGCGGGTGTTGAACAATGAGAACACATGGACATAGGGAGGGGAGCACTACACACTGGGGCCTGTTGGAGGAAAATAGGGGAGGGACAGCGGGGGGTGGGGAGTGGGGGGGGAGGGCATGGGGAGAAATGCCAGATATAGGTGAGGGGGAGGAAGGCAGCAAATCACACTGCCACGTGTATACCTATGCAATAATCTTGCATGTTCTTCACATGTGCCCCAAAACCTAAAATGCAATAAAAAAAGAAATAAATTTAAAAAAAAGAGAAAAAAAAAGAAAATATTAAAACATAACTATCTTCATTTTTAAAAACTATGTATGTGACTCCAAGGATCATTTTTCCCTAACTGCCCAGTGAAAATGGGAATATCCTCTAAATTGTCCTGACAAGTCTGCCTTCTGCTTAGGCACTTTAAGGTAAGTGATCTCACTATCTAAGATTCCTATATGTAGACACGTGTCATTGTTATTCAAGACTAGTTTGATTTGTCATAACTTTATTTCTTCAGGTTCTTCCCTTTAGAAAAATCAGAATTTATTCATCTCTCAGATATTTGGGGGATTGTTTCCAGATTTCCAGGATCCCCACCACACACACACACACACACACAATATCCAAATCTGCACACACTCAAGTCACACTGTTGGCCTGGTAAAACCTGGATATATGGAAAGTTGGCCCTCTGTGTATGCAAGTTTCACATTCCATGTATACTGTGTCAGATTCTGGTTTGGTTGAAAAAAATCCACATATAAGTAGACCTGTGCAGTTCCAACCTGTGTTGTTCACAGGCCAACTATATATTAATAACAGCAGAAATAATGATATGCATATATAAATATACTCATTTAATCATGAAAAAATCTCTATCCATTAGTCAGATTATTGTCTCCATGTAAACAATGACTACCCTTTTCCATAACACCCTTTTAAATATATGAAAATAAATATGTGCTAACCATCCTCACTTTCTCCAATTATTTCCCACGAAATTAATTCTAAATACTTTATCTCCTTCTTTGTCCTATTCTGAATGTACTAGTTTGGAAATATTATTCTGATGCTGTGGTTCTCAGAAAAAACCATAATACTTTAAATATGGTTAGAACAGGATATAGCTAAATAGGATTTTTTTTTTCAGTTATCTTACATTACCAGTGGTATAACGTACCACTGTATAACGAGTTGTTTAGTTTATTTATGTGTCTGTTTTAGAAGCTTCAAGTCAATCATTTAGCCTGATTTAATTCTAATTTCCTTTCAGAACCTCAGCCCAGGACCTAGACTACAGTTCAGTCTAAATATTGAATGATAGATTAAACCCTCTGCTTTCCTCTCCAACTTCTCTGAACTAGTTTTCTATGTTTGCTATACAAATTACCACAAACTTGGTGACATAAAACAACCAAATGTATTGTCTTACTTATGGAAGTCAGAAGTCTAAAGTATGTTGGCAAGATTGTATTTCTTCTGAAGATTACAAAAGAAGATCCAACCTTTGCCTTCTCCAGCTTCCAGAGGGTACATAAATATCTTGGTTTATAACCTCACATCACTGTGACCCCTGCTTCCATCATCACATCTTCTTATTGGACTCTGACCTTCTTTCCTCCCTCTTATAGGGACTATTGTCGTTACGCTGCACTCATGTAGATATTCTATGATAATCTCCACATCTCGAGATCCTTAACTTAATCACATCTTCAATTTTGCTATTGTCATGTAAGCTAATATCTTTGCAGTTTTGGGGGATTAGGATGTAGATAACTTTTTAGAGCTATTATTTTTCCTGTCACAATTTCCTATAACTTGTCTTCTTTCTCATTATGCTTCAGCCACCCTAACTGTATCATTCAGGGTTTTAAATTACAAGTAACAGGGATGTATGCTGAATAATTAATGAGAAAATGAACTTATTAAAATAAATTTTTAAAAATTGTTGGAAGGATTAAAGAATTAGGCTCCAGGTTATACATATAAAAATAACAGCCAAAATTATCTTCAGAACTGGTGTCATGAGAGAATCACTGCAGCTATTGAGCACTAAATCCACACCACACCATTTCTGAGCCAGGAACATAACTTTGCAGCATCATTATGACTGCTGAAGAGTAAAAGGCTATTGTCCCCATGATGACTCCATCTCTTGAACCAAAATTTCAAATGACTGTGTCTGATTATTGAAGCCTGAGTCACATTTCTGTACCCTATTTCTAAGTGTGTTAGCAATGGCTTTCCAAGGAAACCATACCAATAAGAGATAGATGATAGAGACACAGGGAGAAAGATGAGAGAGGATTTAATTAGGAAATTGGCTCACACAACTGTGGAGACCAAGAAGTCACATGACAGCTTCAAGCTGGAGATGCTGGCTCGGTCAAAGTCAAAAGGCCTTAGAACCAGGAAAACCAATGTTGTTACTCCCAGTCCAAAATCAAAGGCCTGAGAACTCAGGGCAATGCTGGTGCAAGTCCTGGGGCCCAAGGGCTGGGGAGCCTGGGGTGGTTATTCAAGAAAAGAGAAAGAGGGTATCACAGCTTGAGCCGACGGATGAACACATTCACCCTTTCTCTGTTTTTGTTGTTTCAGGGCACCCAGAAGATTGGATGGTGCTCACCCACATGGAGGGCAGATCTTTCTCACCCAGTTCACTCAACTCATAGGATAATATCTTCTGACACACACACAAAAATAAGCTTTATCAAGTTTCTACATATTTTTAATACAGTCAAGTGGCCACCTAAAATTAAACAGCAAGGAAGGTCAAAAAGTCAAATACTTAATATTTAATCTCTTGAAGAAAGAGGCACGAAGATTTAAAAAGACAAGACTTCTCAAAACAAAGAAAATAATTCAAGATTTCAGGTTACTTGAACAAATTGCAGTCTTTGGCAACTACTAATTTAGTTTTTTTCACTATCTATGCATATATTCTAGAAATTCTATATAAATAGATAATCTATAGACTTTTATAGTGAGGACTTTTGTGTCTGATTTCTTTCATTTAGAATAAATGTTTTTAAAGTTCATCTATGTTACAGCATTCTTTTCCTTTTATTCCTTTTTTACTTCCAAATAATATTCCATTGTATGGATATATCACTTTTTTGTTACCATCCATGAGCTGATGGATATTTGGATTGTTTTCATATTTTTGAATACTATGAATAATGCTGTTATGAACATATTTGCACAAGTTTTTGTATAAACATGCTTTTAATTTTGGGGATATAATACCTGGGAGTAAAATTGTTGGGTCACATGATGATTCTGTATTTCATTTATTGAGGTGCCATCAAATTCTTCATCAGTTTCATCATATTACATCCACATGAGTTATGTAGAAAGTTTCCATTTCTCTGGTCAATACTTATTATCTGTCTTTTTGATTATCACCATCCTAGGTGAAGTGAAGTGTTATTGTGACCTTGATTTACAATTCTTTAATGATCAGCATTGCATATTTTTTTCACATGGTTGTTAGATATTTTCATGTCTGCTTTAGAGAAATATCTGTTCAGATCATTTGCAAATTTTCCAGGTAAGTTATTTTTATTTTTTATAACCAAGATAAAAGAGTCATATATTCGGGAAAACAATTTGGTATCAGATATATTATTTGCAAATATTTTCTACAATTATGTGGGTTGCTTTTTAACTTTTACAATAGTAATTTTTCAATTTTTAATTTTTGCAGGTAGATATCAGTTGTATATATTTATGGGTTACAGGAGATATTTTGATACAGGAATGCAATACAAGATAATTACACCAGGGCAAATAGGGTGTCTACTAGCTGATGTATGTATTCTTTATGTTTCAAACAATCTGATTATACTCATGAACATTTAAATTATTTTTTAATATAGTCACCATGCTGTGCTAGCAAATACTGTCTTATTTTTTTTTCTATATTTTATAGATGGGGTTCACTAAAGCAAACTTTATTTTAACTTTGATGAAGTCTAATTTATTATTTTACTTTTGTATTTTGGGTGGGATATCTAATAAATATTGCCTAGCTCAAGGACACAACGATTTACACCTATGATTTCTTATGATAGTTTTATAGTTTTAGCTTTTTCATGTAGTTCTTCAATCCATTTTGTGCTTATTTTTCCCTATGGTGTATGTAAGTGTCCAAATCTATTTTTTTCTGTATGTGAATATCTAGCTATCCCAGCATTATTTGTTGAAGAACACAATAATTTCTCCATTATTTTATTTTGGCATGTTTGTTGAAATTCAGTGTACTTTAAAACATGGGAATTTATTTCTGGACTCTAAATTCTATTCCATTGCTCTATATGTCTATTGTTACACTAGTACCACACTGTTTTGATGAATGTAGGTTTCTGCTAGATTTGGGAAATAAAAAGTTTGAGACTTTCAAATACATTTTTCTTTTTCAATATCATTTTGGATATTCTGAGTCTCTGGATTTTCATATTAATTTTACCATTGGTTTTCCAATCTCTGCAAAATGAAAAGAAGTTGGAATTCTGAAAACAATTACACTAAATCTGTGGATGAATTTCAGATTATATTGGCATTGTATTAATCCCTTTTCATACTGCTCTGAAGAAATACCCAGGATTAGGTAATTTATAAAGAAAACGAGGTTTATTGGACTCACAGTTTCATTTGGCTGAGGATGCCTCACAATCATGGCAGAAGGTGGAGGAGCAAAGGCATGTCTTACATGGTGGCAGGATAGAGAGTGTGTGTAGGAGAATTGCCCTTTGTAAACCAATCAGATCTCATGAGACTTATTCACCATCACAAGAACAGCACAGGAAAAACCTACCCCCATGATGCAATTACCTTCCACTGGGTCCCACCTATGACATAATTCCTCCTTGGAATTATGGGAGCTACAATTCAAGATGATATTTGGGTAGGGAAAGTCAAACTATATCAGCCATTTTCTCAATAGTTTTTCCATCCAAGAACATGGACATATTTACATTTATTTGTCTCATTAAAATTATTTCAATAATATTTTACAGTTTTCAGTGTAAAATGTTATATTTTTGGTCAAATTTATTTCCAAACATTTTTGATGTTTGGAAACATTATTTTTGATGGCTTCTTTTTTTACAATTATACTCTAAGTTCTGGGGTACATGTGTAGATTTTGCAGGATTGTTACATAAGTATACACATGCCATGGTGTTTTGCTGCATCCATCCCCCTGTCATCTACATTAGATATTTCTCCTCTTGTTATCCCTCCCCAATCTCCCCATCCCCTGCTATCCCTCCCCTAGCTTTCCCACCCCTCAACAGACCCCAGTGTGTGATGTTCCCCTCCCTGTGTCCATGTGTTCTCACTGTTCAACACCCACTTATGAGTGAGTATTTGGTTTTCTGTTCTTGTGTCAGTTTGCTGAGTTGCCTTCTTAAATGTAATTATTTCTTAATTTCCTGTTTGGATTAGTCATTGCTTGTGTTTGAAGTAAAACTCACTTTTAAAATTTGATCTTGTATCTTTCAACCTTGTCGAGCTCATGTAACAACTAGAATAGTTTGTGTATTACTTACAGTTTTCTATATATAAGATAATGTTATCTGTAAATATTTGCTTTTTCTTTCCAATCTGGATACATTTTACCTGATTTCATTTTATTGACTGATATTTCTGGCTAAAGCATTTAGCGAGATGTTGACTTAAAGAGGTATGAATGAATATCTGTCCTCTTCCTAAATTTAGATGGACAGCTTTTAGTTTTTCACCGTTAAGAATGATATTAGCTCTGTGTTTCAGGACAAAAAACACTCAGCAAACTAGGAATATCAGGGAACTTTCTTAGCCTTACATATTTTCAGTATCTATTATATTATTATTTTTCATCAGTTATTGATATTATGAATTCTATTAATGATTTTCCAAATTTTAAATAATTACTACAATCTTTGTATTACTACTTCATGATCAATATATATTATTTTCAATATATTGCTGAATTGAATTGCCAGTATTCTATATTTATGGATCTCTAT